GGGGTTGGGCATGTGGGTGGGCGGGGTGGCGAGGGTGGAGATAGGGTTGGGGAGGGGGCAGGGTGCCAGATAAGGGTGAGGGCGGAGAGTGAGTGGAAATTTTCCTTCGAAAGTTGGGAAAATCATTTTCCTCTCTTATGGGAAAAAATAAATTGTTTGAATAATAACTTTTTAACACTTATGCTATTAAATAGTGGGGAAAAAGTTCAAACTTTCTAGAAAATATTTTTTTCCCCGACCAAAAGATCTTATGTTTTACTCCATAAATGATGTGTGATACTCATTATTATAATATCTATTCATACATATTTTCCAATCTATTGAATTACATAGAGTCAATGCATTCGTTTGTTTCAAAATTAGATGAGCTTCTAATTTAGCTTATCTTCCGTTGCACGACATTTGGTAGAAGGGCGGGCAAGTCGATGTGGCACCAGGCAAGATTGACGAACACCTCTAGCGTTGACACTTAAAACAGTGTCTAACATACTTCATACTCCGTATTTGTTAGGCAATAATACCAATAATATTACTCCATATGTCTTGGTATAATCTTCATATTTATTCTTTTTTTCTTCGTCCAGATTGAATTTCTTATTTCGCACATGCATGCTTGTTTGGACCAAAATACTCTCTTTTTTTCATTTGGATTAAATATTTTCATTTTCCATGTCAAAGCATTTTTTAATAAAGGTACTCAAGACAAATCTACCTCTTAGTTAATCTATCTTACAAATAAGAAAAAGTCAAAGCGCAAAGATTAAATTGAAACAGAAAAAGTAACATTTAACTTCATATTAACAAAGAGTTACCGAGTATTTCATATTTAAATAGAGTGGTGCTAAATCCACCACTTGTATTGCTAAATCCACCCAATTTATAAGATGAAAAATTTACATAAATAGCAATAAAACATAATGTTTCTCTCTAAATAACATCATATGTGTTTTTTTTAATGTAGCACTTTTAATCATTATCCATTAGTCATTATTCAAATAAACGTTCGCCATCACTGGACATTAGTTTTTCTTCTAGACATTATTAAATGCTATTTAGAAAATAAAAAGTAGTATTTACTATTTAGGAAAATGACTTAAGTTTAAATGTTATTTAGTGCAAATATTTCTTTATAAGAAATCAAGAATATTACCTTTCAATTTAGTAAGAATATTTAAATATTGATCTAAAAGGGACCTCCACATATTGCTTGCTTTTAACAAAAAAAGATCAATTGTGTTGTTTGAAGAGTATGGGATACATTCCGTGATCCATAGCGGGGAGTTCACGAAAGGAACAAGGGGGGAACCCGTCTCTCTCTCTCTCTCTCTCTCATGGCATCATCCTCCTCCTCCTCCTCCTTCACGCACTCTACAGCTATTGCTTAGCTATGCCTTTATTTGTCTGGTTATGGTAAATGATAATGGCGTTGTGGTTTTGTCTACGTCACTCACTGTTTGCGGAGCTCTATTTACACATTTGACCTTTTGGATCGTCGGCCATTCCCACCCCCCTCTTTCTATATATATCACTCCGTATGCTACACGCAGCGTATGCATTTATCAGTGAGGATCTGTGTGTGCATTTTGCAGACTGAGATGTGTTTTTGATCTCTAAGCATTTGCTCTCGCATTCATTTCTGCCGCCGCATTTGTAGATCAGAGGTTCCCGCGGAATCACCGGCTTTTAGATCCGATGGCAGCGGCAAGGAAGCCTGGTTTGATTGCTCTGTTTGATGTCGATGGTACCCTCACCGCGCCCAGGAAGGTGAGATCTATGTGCTGTAGTTAGTTTCTTATTATATCAGCGGGTTTTGATTGCCGGTCTTCATTTATCTTCCCTTAACTTGGTTCCTTATGTCCTGAGGTTTGCATTGTTTTTGATCTGCGATTCCATGTCATAGATTTTTGTTTCGTTAATTTGAGCCAATGCCTTTAAATTCTCTTCAAAACTAAAGCAAGTATAGTCAAGTATGTTTTGTGTTATTCTTGCTTTGTTCATTGTTACTTCGTATATAGCAGTGACTTTTTTTTTTTGAGTGCAAGCACATTATTCGAGTCTACTCGATCTCCATTTCACTACTATTTGTTTCTATGATTGTAACTTCCAGACAGCTACTATGGAGATGTTGACATTCATGCAGGAGCTGAAAAAGGTGTGAAATCTTGTCTGGGCAGTTCTTTACAGTTGATTAGGTGAGTCATAAAATGCTTTCAAGCTTAAATGATTGCCCACTTGCAGGTAGTCACTGTTGGTGTTGTTGGAGGTTCTGATCTTGCCAAGATATCAGAACAGCTTGGGAATTCTGGTTAGCTTCAGTTCTCCTTAACCCTTTTATATTGAGTTTGTATTTTTTGTAAAATTTTATCAAGCCCCATCGCCCTCACCCCTACATGTCCAAGGGCTTGGTTGAGGAGGTTAATCACAGAGGGGTGTGGATGAGTAGTCTCAGGTTCCTGCTGTGTGCACTAGAGATCCTATCTACTGGTTAGCATTGCGATGTATTGTAGTCCCGGGATCTATTTCTTTGCAGCAGATTCAAACTCATCCACACTGCCACTGCTGAAACTTTAATCTTCACTCATTGATCAACCACCAATGATTTATCATATCTTCCCATTTGATCCCAAGTCTCCAGTAGAGGCATAGGCTTGGGGTACCGCCACACCATTGGGTCTTTGGTCCAATTTGTACTATTTATTATCAATAACCCTTGTGTCTGATTAACATGAACCTGGAGAAGAAAGCTGATTACCTGTAAATACACCTATGCATTCAAGTGTATCGCCTATGCCATTCCCATTTTTTTTCTCTTTTCAATACTCTTTCTTTCCCTCTTGTCTGTTAGTTTCATTTCATAGTTTTATAAGTTCATTTTTCGTGCTTTGTGCATCTAGATATGGACATCCCGCTCTAACAGCTCCATGTAATATGTTTTTTTGCAGTTACAAATGATTATGATTATGTATTCTCTGAGAATGGACTGGTGGCACATAAGGATGGGAAGCTAATTGGAACACAGGTAGTTTTATAGACTTTTATCCGACTCTGGGTAATTCAACTAACTGACTGAAAAAAAACTTCCCATGCCGACCATTAGATCCATGAAAATGAAAAGGGGGGGGGGGGGATGAGTGATTACTAATGTCACAATAGTCTTGCCTCTTTATCCAAGGCTCAAGATTGTTGTTGCGTAGTTTTAGGTTTTAGTTGAAGAAAGATAAGGCATCTCAGACCAAAACTCGGAGCAAGAATATTTTGCAACTCACCCTTTAAATTGCCCCTATAATAGTTACTATCCATGGAAAGATGTGTTATATATTTTAGTGT